TTTCAAACAGTTTCCTTCCGTTCATGACGAAGTAAGAGCATCAATACAAAACTAAGTGAATTAATTTTATTTCTGAACGGGACCGGTAGCGGCAGGATTTGGCTGATGGGGGTACGATGTCTCCGACGTGGTGGGCAACGAGAGCATAAGTGGGCGTGGCCGGGTGTCGCTCAAAGTTTCTGAAATTGTTTCAGAGTTGAAACCCCGGAAATTTCGAAAATTTCAAAGGCTTATTTAATCGATTTTAGTGTCTTCTAATATATCATAAAAATACATAACTTTTTCTTCCCCGCCCCACCCCCCGTTTTTCTTCTCGACCGGGGATACCGATCGTTTCGGTAGAAAAGTCAGTTTGTTTGTAAATAATTTTCAACCACACAGCCATTGAACAACAAACAGCGGTGGCTGATTAATTTCAGTCCGAAATCCAAGTTTATGAAGAAGATATAGAAACCATACAAATATAGGGTCAATGGCGGTAATTTCATGTAATTTTTTGAGGAATTATTCAATAATAATATGAATATGCATATTATACACATTTTGTTACAAAAACAACTCTCTACAGCCAGTGGGCTCCCTATATTTCCACCCCTAATTTGCATATTTATGCTAATAAGGTCGGCAAAATGGCACTTCCGGTCATTTTTGAAGAAAATGTTCCATTAGGGTAAATAGAAACATGCATGTTCTGAACAACTTTAATAAAGAAGCAACTTTCTGCGACTTGTGGTTACCAAGATATAAGTACCCTACATTTTCAGACCTAATTTGCATATTCAGCTAATTTGCATATGAAGATAAGCGTAAAAAAATTGGCGACTCATTTTATTCGATTCAGCATACTTCAAAGCATATAATTTAAAAAAAAAAAAATGATCACGAAATTTCCACGGGATGACATAAGCCATACACACAATAAAAAACATAGGAAATAGCAAGAGTGATTACAATAGTTCCTATTGCATTACATGCATAGGAACTAAAAAGTCGTATGTTTGGAAATTCCAAACATACGGGTTCTACAACCCGCATGTGATAATACATTATAATATGTTGCACTTTTTCTATAGCGTCCACAATCGACTGGGAAGCCTACAACTAAGGACAATCTTAAAGCATTATCTTCACTACTCTATCAATACTAACAACATGGCTCCCAAGGTAAATTAAACACTTAGTGTAAACTTAAGTGACTGTCAATACTTAAAATAATGCAAATGTATTTTTACAATATTTGCATTTGCTTAAAAGCACTTCATTTTATTTTTGATAACTGAATTTATAGTCTGTAAACTAAATTAACTACCAAACTGTTGATATTATGATATTCTAATTTTAAAACAGAAAGACACAGGCAAAACTCCATACCAAGGCAAGAAGCGGGCTTTTGGAAATTTCAAATGTCCAAAATGTAATCGGACTTGGTCAAGTGCCAACAGTTGGGCTAACATGGGCCAGGAATGCAAGACATGCAGGATTAATGTTTACCCTTATCATCAGGTGAGATGGATTTTATTCATTTTGATCTAAATGGTTGGAAAATATATATTTGAAGTTAAACAAAGCAGTTGAAATTCAGGTGCAAAATACAAATTTTGAAACTATTTAAATCTGAATTATAATGTGTTTCATTCTCTATTCAGAGTAGGTACTGTATTATAGATTAATTAAAGTAGATTAGACTTTGTACAAGTTAGTCTTAAAAGTGTTTATACATTATAATGGTATGTCTAGCTAGCTGAGGGAATTTTTGAGTCAAATTCCGGGCTATTCTCTTTAAATATTGTTCAATAAATTTAAGGAAGAATTAAATATAAAACACTAAATTTATCTATGTTTTTTCCTTAGGAGGAGCTAAAACCAGGTAACACTAGTTACAATCAGGAACAGCATCCTGAGCATCTGTGTGAGAAGTGCAAGCAACTTGGTCACTCCTGTAAAAACTGAATCAAATGCAGCAACAGGCTAATTAATAGCTATACAACTAATTAATTGTTAACACTGCTTCAACTTAGATATAGAATAGAACAGGCTTTTGGTTAATTAGGCTTTTCATGTCTAAATATAGTTGAATAGATTGATGATTTAAATTTTGAATGAAAATTTTTACTACATCATATTATTATTTTGGAGTTTTTAATAAATAACTTATCATGGGTTCAAAGCCAATCATAGCAGGCTCACAGATCCATTGCTAAGTATCTTGTATTGTATCTGCTTTGCAAAAATTCTGCATCGTTTGTTTTTATATTATGAACATTACACATTGACAGGGACGTAATGCAGCACTGAAAGCGTGGTTAAAATATTCCATCGCCACATGTATTCCTTTATCTACTCTTCCTAACACTGTTCAAAGTGAAAATGCCAATAAATCTTAAACATGCATAAAATTTAGCCTCTTTTTATTGTTTACCAAGATTTTTTAACATCATTATTCACATTGTGGAGTAGGCAGTGGCAGTGGGAATCAACATCATTAAAACTTTACTATTGACAATATAATTAGATACAGCCCAAAAGGTGCATATATATATATATTGGTTTAAAAAATCAGCAATATCAACCTCTTCATAATTTCATCATCAATACCTGTTACCATATCCTTAATCACCATCATATAGAAGTGGTTTGGCGCATCCGGAATGGTTTTTCCCAACCTCAACTTTTGTTTTCAATTACAGTACCCACTGTCAATTATTGTAGACACAGGAGTATAAGTGGGTACCTGTAGGGTTAAAATGCAAAATGCACTGATTAGCTGCTGCAACGTTATAGAATACGCCCCAGGGAGCTTGACTTTGTGTTCCTTAGGCGTTTAATCCAATGACCGGGGTAATGCTAATGTGAAGTGCATAAAGGTCTCATTATAATGCGCTATATAAGTCTACCATTATTATTATTATCATCAACCAAATATTTTTCTTATCCATCAACCACATTTTTTTTTCATCTCTCAATATCTTAAAAAGAAGCGGACACTAAATCTGGAAAGCATGAAATCTCATCTACATTTCTAAGAAAACGTTTATCATCATTAATCATTTTGTGGAGCAGTCGGCGGCAGCAGCAGCGGGAATCAATACCAAGAACAATTTACTATCAGGTGTAAATATCATTATTATTATTTATCTAAACTTAGATAATGCAATGTCAACAACGATTTGCCCCTAACAACTACTATGCAACTCAATCATATGAATGGGAAATTCCAAAAACAATCTGGTTTTTTCCCATTTGAGCTTTATAAATAAGTAATAATTATAATTTGTGCCATAGATACACAGGACTCGGTGTACAACATTATATACTGTAGCTGAAGAGAACCACGAAAGGAAATATGTCTCAGGTATGCACAACTATAGGATGGATCGGTAGTAATGCCCAGGATGATTTAGAGAATAGCTTAGGGGGTAAAATTTAGCTGCATAATTAACTTGCCTAGTATATAGATATTGACTGCTTTAAGATGCATAGTCTACATTACTCATGTTGCTGTTAAATACAGTATGTACCATAGTAAACATGCAATATTTACTATGGTACATACTGTATGTACCATAGTAAACATGCAATATTCTATAGTATAAGTTGTAATAATCACATATGATTTTTTTATTAGGGCAAGGGTTTAACACTATACCAAGGCTCAAAGCGCATGTTTGGTGAATTTCGTTGCCCAAAATGCAATCGTAGGTGGATGAGTGGCAACAGTTGGGCTGATTTTGGTCAGGAATGTAAGAATTGCAAGATTAATGTCTACCCTTACACCCAGGTGAGTCAGCTTTTTTGTACAACTTAAATCATTTATGAAAGGATAATACATGCTCCAAGTATTGAAATGCACGCCATCGTGTTGGGATTCAATATTTCGACATTAATGTCATCATCAGGAATGAAAAAATTATCCATATTAGCAAGCTTATAATGCACTAGCACCAAAAGTGTTTAACCAATCAAAACATTACCTCTGGTGACATAGTGATTTAAACAAAAGATCAAAGCATTCTTACTCTACTGATCAAAGCTACCTACAAAAATAAAGAAAGCTCCTTTGAAGCTCTGAACCCATTGTTAAGCAAAGGGTGTAGTCTACGTATAGCAAACGCTTCTTTAAACAATAGGATAGGCCAGTTTCGGGAGCTGTCAATAATGTTAGTACTAGAAAATATTAAACCTAATTTATTACTTAAATTACAGACAACATTATCATTTTCAAGTATACCTGTAAGCCTAACACATAAGCCTAAAACATTTATTTCATACAAGATCAGTCAAGACTTGTAGAATACTACTTATATTTAAACATGATTATTTCTATTATAGAAAAAATTATACTAAATATTATTATATTACATATTATATAATTATAAAACAATACCAATAAAACTATCAGTAACAATAGACCTCACTAGGACCCCCATTTGACATATTTCATAAATCGAAAATTAATTTTAATTGCTACTCAATCCAAAAAAAATTGCACTTTTTTTTTTTTTTTTTTTTTTTTCTGTAGAGAAAACTAAAATTTACTGGAGCAGAGGGGAACATGAATGAGCCACACCCAGCACACTTGTGTGAGAAATGCAAGAAGCACGGAAATTGCAGAGGAGGTTTTGGTGGCAGACGATACTAACCCATCAAATCGCAACAACAGTGGATAACAACCAATCACAATGCTAGAAATATTAGCATCATATTAAGATCATTATCCAGAAATTATAATACAATTTGATATTATTTGACTTTTTGAGGATGAAAATTTGATATACTGTGTTTCTAATAATGTTTAGCAATATTTTACACTTGCTATTACAGACTTATGATTAATTAAAAAGTTTGATGCAGGTTAGCAATATTGGTGTTGGTGGGGAGGGGCATGTGGTGGCACTATCTAGATCACTCTAAAAGTCAACACAAGATATAGGCTCTCTTCACTAAGGCTTCTGTGAATGGATGTTTTGTAGTGGAGTAGGAAATCTTGTCTATAAGCAGTACCATATGATTGAAATAGACAGGAAAATTACCAAATTCTCACGTCCCACATTATGGTTAATTCTAAATTTTTCCATTAAGTTACTTTTTATACTAAATGCTAATAATTCATATATTACAGCAGATTTGTTGTACATAAAAAGTTGCTCCAGGTGCACTCACAGTTTAAACATAATTTTTATTAAGAATTTGTAGTCTTGATTGATTATTCTTCATATATAAATGTACACCATATCCCAACTGTGATGTATCTACTTGGGGTACATGAGGGCTGGTTGAAGCTGGTTGAAGGGGCAGAATGGGAAAGTAAGATAGTGCAGCTAGGAGAAGATGATTTGAGGCTATTAACTAATTTTATTGCTTTTAGTAACTTTTTATTGGGGTTCCAGGGGGAGGGAGAATACTTTTAGAGGGAAAAGATCATGTAGGTCTACCCCACATTTCATTAGATATACTGATCGTGTAGGCCTACCCCACATTTCATTAGATATACTGATCATGTAGGCCTACCCCACATTTCATTAGATATACTGATCATGTACGCCTACCCCACTTTTCATTAGATATACTGATCATGTAGGCCTACCCCACATTTCATTAGATATACTGATCATGTAGGCCTACCCCACATTTCATTAGATATATTGATCATGTAGGCCTACCCCACATTTCATTAGATATACTGATCATGTAGGCCTACCCCACATTTCATTAGATATACTGATCATGTAGGCCTACCCCACATTTCATTAGATATACTGATGCATCACGATCTTGTGTATGTATAATTTGTTGACACTGGATGATGACATTTGGGAAATCCCAGTGTACAATCTTATCACCAACATTTTTATGTAAACATTTACTATAACACTATATAAACATTAAATATTGAAGGCCTAAATCGTCTATGTGTATTATCATTCATGACAGTTTACATACAAGTATGACATTCTTTCATACAACAGCATGCCATAGAATGTTTATAAATTACAGATAAGATTATCAAACTTAATAGCATTCAGAACCTTAGCCATAAACGTAGATTTTGATGATTAAATGTTAGAAACGTCATTTCTTTTAGTGATTACGATTTAATTGAAATGGTGAACTCGGCAGGGTGGGTTCGTCCAGTTCCCAAGGAAAAAATAGCCTGCATACCCATAACAGCTACCGGTACCAGTACTTGTAGTTTGATGCCGACGTTCCCTTCTTTCAGAGACATAACTGACAAAGACATAACGTAGCAGGGGATGCAATAACATTTTTTTTTAATCAGGTATAAGAATAAAATTAGCCACTTGTGGTTCTTTTTATTCCTGAATCTACTGTACTGCTAATCTTGTCCTTAAAGCTGGGCACTCTATCACTGAGTCGTATGACAGTTGAACGATGAATCTAATGCCTCTGCTGATTGTCAGTGGCAGTCTGAATGGATCATTATTAAAAAGAATCTGTCGCTTCGTGGCTCTGTGTTCTCCATAGAATCGCGTCAGTTGATGACCATGTCTAAATCATGCCTACACATGAAGAATGTTTCTTATTTATTGTTTAAAAGGATTGTTTATCATCAATATAATTTTGGGGTCATCCTGAAGCCTACCCGCGGCGGTCCTCTTAAACAGCACTAACGCTGTGGTGAACGGAATCAGTACATCAAGTCCAAATCTGCAACAACAATGCCACATTCAGCTTACACCTAAAAGATGTACCTTCAACCTGGGACCTACAGACATCTGGTTGAAGACAGATCTTCTACTGTGATTTTGGACTTTGTTGAGGCGGTGATAGTGGAATGGAAACCAAAATCAAGGAATCAGAAACCATTTTTTGTCAATGATAAAATTTTTGAAATGCCAAAAAGGACTTTGTTTCATAATTATAACGACAAAATTATCCAACTCTTCATCACTGTATAATCAACATTAACAATTATCATATTATTTTAATCCCCACTGATACTAAAACCACATTTCTTTCATAATTTTTAACTCAATATTTGAAAAAAAAGAGACCTTATAGGTGATGCTTAATGAAGCAGAAACAAAGTCCGGGAAATTCCAGCATGCCATCACTTCATTAACATTCATGCACACATATCTACAGTAAATTGGTTAGGTGTATATGATATTGTATATCATTATTTTAATGAAGCATAGACAATTCTTACTGACATCATCAAACCATACCATGTAGCAATGAGTGATTATTACTGAAGGGAACATTATCAAAGGTATTTTACGTGTACAGCATTTGAATGCTAGCAGCAAGTCTGTCATGTGAATGGGAAATTCCAAAACATACTGGGTTTTCCCCACTTGAGCTATATATTCGTAAATAATTATAATTTTGTGGCAAAAGTGACAGGAGTACAACATTATACAGCTGAAGAGAACCAACCAAGGAAATATGTCTAAGGTATGCATAACTATAGGATGATTCACATAGGGATTATATAGAGAATAGTTAAATTTAAATTTTACAATTAGCATGCACTGGAGGTGTTACCTGTTAACAGTTCCATTATCGCAAGAATGTGTTCTATGTGTATATAAATTATAATTAATGGCTATGGTAAATGCAGTGACGGCTCAAGAAATTTATTGACAGGGGATCCGAACCAAAGGGGCCGCCAAGAGCCTTGGTCAGAATGCCGGAACAAAATTCCTGGTGGGGCTTATGGGGAGAGATTTAATGGTTTGTATGGCCAAAAATTGTGTTTTCAGACCACAGTATTAGGGATTGATTGATTGACAATAAGTTTGTTTGGATTGGCAAATAAATATTTTCATTCCGACGATCTAGGCGTGGCATCCCACAATGGGGTTCCATTCTTGTCCGACGGGAATTCCCCACCCCCAACTCCTGCTAGCCCTGCCACTGAGTAAATGTACTACTGTATATTCATAGGCTGTGTCTACTTACAGCATTTGAATTGTTCAATTTGTACATAGGTTATTATGGTAAGGTATCATTTAATAATAACATTAAGAAATGCGCCCTCTAAGGTGTATAAAGTGAATTCATAAAAAGTCATTTCATCTTGTTAAGTGGAAAGAAATAAAAAAAATACAGAATCCAATAATAATATACAAACATCAATCATACAAAAAAAATTGTAAATAGTTATAACAATGATTTTCTTATTAGCGCATCGGCAAGGGGTTAACTCCATACCAAGGCACAAATCGTGTGTTTGGTGAATTTGAGTGTCCTGACTGCGGTCGTACATGGATGAGCGGCAACAGTTGGGCCGACTGTGGCCAGGAATGTCAGACTTGCAACATTAATGTCTACCCCCATTCCCAGGTAAGTTTAAACTATTATCAAGTTTATCAGTGAAAAATCAATTGTGTGATTTTTTAATATTTAAAAATTGGGGGAAAAGGGGGCATAACCACCATTTTTTCCACCTTCTTCCCCTAGATGTTAAATATTCAATCTCATTAACCATTCCCCAGTTTGTCATCAAACAACTTTTTTCTGTCTTAGAAAAGTCAGATCTACAACATATCAAATTTTTTTTTCCACTGGAGCCTGACTTTAACGTGCACATGGACCACAATGCTCAGGGGACCAACGACTTTAAGGTCTCGCCTGAAAGACGGTGCGCTATTGCAACTTGCATTTTAGCCCTCCAGCTGAAATACAAGGAGAGCAGCGATGGGAATTGAACCGGGGACCAAGAGATCTCCACGGTTCAGCGCACACACACAGTGGCTACTACCAGTTTAGCCAACTGAGCTAAGCTGCTCATTAAAGCACCCCCCCCCCACCCGATGTCTAAAGTACTACATGCATAGTTGGCATTGATTTTAATGATTATAGAATACTTTTGAGAATTCTGGCCTTATGTTTTTTTAATCAGAGGAGGTGCCAGCAAGAAGAACATGGAGGCAGGAAAATTCCCAAATCAGATAGACCAACCCCTCATTGTCGAAAGTGTCAGGAAAATTCTGTTTGTGATTTAGGCTACAGTATGTCACACGTTAAATAATAATGAAAAAATGTGCCTGTATTAGTCTGAACTGGGACCCCTGAACAAAACAACTATAAAATTGCAATTAGGGACTGGCACCCGAAATTTAAAATATTTCGCTCTGGTTTATTTTCTCTAGAGGGCGCTGAAGTTCAGTGGTGATGAGGGGAACCTAAGTGCACCACACCCAGAGCACTTGTGTGAGAAGTGCAAGAAGCTTGGACGTTGCTGCAGAGGTAATGCTAGACGTTTCTAGCCAAGCAAAATACAACAAGTGTGGATACTGGCACATCACACATTACAGCACTTAAATAGCGCTATTTCATGAAGATCAGAGCGGGGTTTTTGTTGTATATTTATTAATAAACAGTAGCTATGAAATACTTCACCAAAAAGACAACCGGAATAATGAGAAACAAAAATAAAACAATGCAGACGAAACAAACACCACCACAGCGTTCCCCACCAATTTAAAGTGCAAGGCCCGCCAGGACAGTATTCACAGTTGCATGAGTGACGCTGGCATCTAGACCTGGTCATAAATGACAGAACCAGCATTAAAATTACTAATAATCATTAATGTTTGTATGTTATCATTACATGCCAACATTCAATTAGTGTCACAATAACATTAATATTCAGAACGTTTTGCAAGTTACTATTTTACTTGAATGAAAATGTAAAAGGTGTTTTTGTAAAAAAATTAGTACAATTACTAATATGAAATCACCTCATCTTTGAATTTGTTCTTTGAATACAAAAATTATGTTTTTCACACTGCAGACAATCCTGCTTAGGTCGTGAGTGTGTGTCATGACGTTTGATACTAAAATTATGTACAGTGAGTTAATATTAGTATATTAATTAAGATACTATTAAAATATTATTATTGTTATTATTATTGTTATTATTATTATTATTATTATTACTATTATTACTGTAGTTTTGATATATATATATATTGCTGTGTTTTTACATTTTATTTATTGAAGCAAATGTGGAATCTTCATTTTCTTAAAATTTAAAATATAAATACACACACATGTGTGTGTGTGTGTGTCAGGGGGTGGGGGGGTGTGCGTGCGTGCGTGTGTGTATGTATATTTGAATTTTCAAATTCTAATAGTAATATTAAATTAAAGCCCCGGCAAAATTTCAGTTGTTAAGAAAAATCTGATTTTTATATACGTTATAAAGATTTATAAATATAATATGAAATTGCTAGTTTAACTGAATTTAGAGATTCCTAAGAATGAAAAAAATGTAAAATAAGACTGAAAGTTGATTTTTTTGTGTTCCACACAAGAAATTAATGCGGATGAATTTTTTATGTTTGATTTTGCGATAGGTCTGTGAAGAAATATAGTAGGCGCCGGAAACATTAGCCTATCCAACACTGTTAGGCCTAGCCTTACCTTGATATAGGTTCTGTTATTACACATAAAAACGACCTCATTTTTTTTATTCTTTTGCGTAAAACTAAAATTTATGCCAATATTTTTCCATTGTTTATAATAATTAGAGTAATGCATATGCATTTTTTTTTCAAAAAAAATTATTTTCTAGTGAAATTTTGCCAGGAATGGGGCTTTAAGTTACATCTAAAGCTACATTTGCACTAGACATGATTACGACACGACAAATTTGTATGCTTCAACACTGCGCGCATCTGTATCGTGTTGTTGTCGTGTCGTAATTGTGTCTAGTGTAAATGTAGCTTTAGGCTCTACTGCTCTTTCTCTGACAAAAGAAGTCAAAATTATGGAAAAACGAGCGTGGAGAAAAAGATCCGAACTTAAGCATTTACAAACCTTGTCATAGGTTAAGTTTGTGTATTGCTGATTAATTTGTAATAAATCAATCTTGTTTACCGTACATTATTGTTGGTGGTACAGCTGGCTATTTGAAACTTATGAGTGAGAGGGGATGCAATTGTTTTTCTTCTCATTAACAATTTATGCTGATTTAGTTGATTAAAATACATAACCTAAATGTATGTCTGTACTCCAGTGTACTTTGTGTGTATAGCTATCACTGAGAACTATCTAATTTGTTGATGTTGGGTGACTACATTTGGGAAATTCCCAGTGCATTATATTATCAGCAACATTTGTATGTACACATACAATATTAAAGTCCTAAATGTTTAATTTGCATTATTATTCATAACAATTTATATACAAAATGACATTCTTTCATACAACAGCATGCCACAGAATGTTGAAAAATTATTGATGATAAAAGATTAACAAACATGCTTAACAACATTCAAATGTTAGGGTCAAGTATTTAGAGGATGCAGCTTGACTCTGTTGAGTCATATGAATGGGAAATTCCACAACATAATAGTTTGTTTTGAGCTACATATATCATAGCATTACATCTACAACATACACATACAGTAGCGGTATACAACATTATGCAAGCGATGATACAGAATCAAGAAAGAAAATGTCTCCTCAGGTATGTACAACATAAGATGGGTCAACAACAATGCAAAGATTTTTATATAAAATGTTGCTTACTAATGTAAATGTGATATACTATGAAAAAATGAACTATAATAAAAGTAAATGGACTATAAACTATATTTAGTATAAAGTAAATGTATTACTGTATAATACAAGATAAAGTTTGGTTAACAAAAGGTGAACTTTAATGACAACGATGTATATAGGGAAGTATAGTATAGTAGAAGTGGACCCTTAAGAATGTGCAATCAGTCAAAAAAAGACAGGAAAATCCCTCAAAAGTTTAAAATAAAATTTTGAATAGCTCATTCGAAAGGATGAAATAAATTATTAATTCCGAAGAGAAGCACATCACAAAAAAAGTAGGTTTTCACATTTAAATTTTGCTACAAAAATCCTTAAATTGATTATTGTCCATTTAAGGATTTATGCAAAAGTATACTGGAAAAATTGATGGGGGGGAATTTGTTTAATTCAGAGTTCTAAATTTAATTTAATAACTTAAATATAAGCAATTCATATGTGTAATTACAATTTTAATTTTTAAGGAAGTGATTCTTAATTTGAGAGTACAAAGCATTTTATTGACCTGCTAAATGTATAAATAAATGCATACTAATTATAATGTTTGATTGGTTGATTAGCGCAAAGGATTAACTCCATACCAAGGCTCAAAGCGTTCGTTTGGCGAATTTCGTTGCCCAAAATGCAAACGTACGTGGATGAGCGGCAACAGTTGGGCTGACTGTGGCCAGGAATGTATGGTTTGCAGGATCAATGTTTATCCTTACACTCAGGTGAGTATGTTTCATCATTAAAACACATTTAAAACATAGCTAAGCAATCCGTCATAAATGAAAAATTTGCAACACACCAATTGTTTTCCTCAGTTTTAAATCACACTTCACTAATTATAGATAGTGGTACACCATTAAGTAAATTTAAAGGCATGCAGGAAGCCGTGGTGAATTTGCAGGAAGGCTGAGAAATTTTATTGGGGTTGGAAAGAATCCCCAGAGGACTGATTGATTAAGAAAACAGAAAATGCGTATATTCTTCTAAGCAGCTGAGATGTGACAGGAACATATTAGTTCAATGCAGGGGTGGCGCCAGGATTTGCCTGACTGGGGGGGGGACGATGCCCCCGACGAGGTGGCAGATTTCCCCGATGAGAGCAAAGTGGGCGTGGTCGAGCATCAATTAAAATGTATTGAAAAGTGGTCCAGCTGGCGAAGCCCCCAAAAATTTTGACAATTTAAAGGGTTTCAAAGGCTTATTTAATCGATTCTATTAATACGTAGAAAATGCATTTTTTTTTCTCCCAGACGAATTGTGGTTTTCCCCCCAACAGGGGGAGGGGCCAGCTCTCCCCTACAGGGGGCCCTGCCACCCCTCGATGGCGCCACCCCTGGTTCAATGTACTCCCTAACATACAGCACCCATCTGCCTAATGATTGTAAAACTCATAATAATAATAATAATAATAATAATGATGATAATGACCACAGCAGCAACGAAAACGGCAGTGGCTGTTGCGGTAACGATTTACATAAAATTTAATCCTTAATCTGATTTAGATTGCACAAATATAGATTTTTTTTAATTTTCTATAGAGGCCACTAGAGTATGATGGTGATGATGATGAGGAGGGGGAATGGGAAGAAGAGAAGCCACATCTACAAAAATTGTGTGAGAAGTGCAAGATACTTGGACACTGCTGCAAGCCACCTGGAGACAGACGTCGACGCCGGCGTAGAGGTCGGGGTAGAGGTCGGGGTAGAGGCCGGGGTAGAGGCCGGGGTAGAGGCCGGTGAGTGAATAATAGCAAATAAAAAAACTTTGATAAATGCTTTATATTGTATAAATGTGAAGAAAAATTAAAGATTTTTTACTCGGAGATTTTATAAACTATTTTCCTGAAGAATTTGTATTATGAAATATCTTACATTTTTAATATTTTTAAACACAAAGATATATAAATAGTAAGTTATCAAATTAATAACAGATTGGTTGTTAAGAAAACTACAGATATAAAGTTTGTTTGTATTCAAATTTGTTTTGTGTATATACTGTAGCTATGTCACCCAGGAAGTAGTTTTCGATCAAGTGATTCCCTTAGTAGAAGCGGTTGGCGCATCGGTTGTGGCTTGGACTCCCAACCTCGAGGTCGGGGGTTTGAAACTCTCGCTGTGCAGATCGCTTGTGTCCTTGGGCAAGGCACTTTATCTACGGTTGCCTCTCTCCACCCAGGAGTACAAGTGGGTACCTGGTAGGTTCCAACACAACTGCGCTGATTACTAGCCGCAATATTATGGAATAACAATATAATTTAACTTAATAATTTAATTTGGTGTTCAATGTGTTCCATATGTGTTTGATCCAATGACCGGGGTAGTAATGTGAAGCGCTTAGAGGCTTTGTTAAGGCATTAAGCGCTATATAAGAACGACATATTATTTATTATTATTATTTTAATAAAAAGAGATGACATTTACTTATAAATCTAAGTTTATAAAAAAGAAAAATTATGCACAAACTGCTATAGTATGCATAGATAGCAAAAACGGTTAATATGTCAATTATAGCCTTCAGTTTTAAAATTTGTCGTACAACCTGAAGAGGTATTTTTTCAAAGAATCTTATTTCAAAAATAGATAAACACAATACAATTGTATAAAGAAGTTAAAACTTATATAAATACTAAGCTAATGTAATCTAATTATATAAATGATAAAAATGATATAAAAAAGGCTATCATATGATTTTAATAAAAACTATTACTTGTTGCACTACCAATGGAGGTGTTAAAAGTTGTACTGACCACACCCAATGATTCCATCATTGTGTCACCACAAGTGATAGTGCAGTCGTTACAAAAAAAATAAACCATAACAAATTACAAGCTTTTCTGGTATATACATATATAATTGTAGTTCAATATTGTTATTGTCTGCGGCTCTGTTTATTCAAAGGAAAAAGGTGATTTGAAAATTGATTAGAGAAATAGTGAGCTTTGTACTTATTGTTGACGGTTGCTTTGCATGTTTCACTGGATTTATTCTAAATGGGACACAATTAGTAATAGTTGAGTGATTTTTAACAGACCCTTGTGCCAAATCATTTACAAGCTTCGGCAGATTGAACGGTATTGTCAACTAATTATGGGTTCATCAATTTGAGTCATTCAAATGTGTCAAAAGGGTTGTCAAGTGGAATTTGTTTACTCGTCACAATTTGTTGGGACAATGCAAACAAGTGATTTGATGTATTTGAACTTCTCCGGTGGAGATATAAGAAATCAAATCTAACATTTTGTTATTACTCATTTAACACTCAAATTGCTAACTTCATTGTAATTTGATTTATCTATATTTCATTTGGCAGACCTAACAAGCTGACATAAATATATAAAGTTTTAAAAATGTATTTATGTATACTACAAGACATGCTAATGTTTTCTTTGAAATATAAACACTATCTACTTACAGGTAGGTTAGTCCCATCACTGATAGTAAAGTCAACTTGAAAAAACAAATCAGTCTGTAATAAAAACAATTAAATAATTATATTCAAACTATTTAGCATGAAATGAAAACATAGAAATTATTATTTATTCAAATACAACAGGTTAAACAGGGTACATGTATGATCTGTGTGAATAAAAAACAATAAACAATATCTGTACTTAAGGTTATGATGCTTGCCTTCAAATTCAAGGTTCTAGGTTCAAGCATATTAAAAACCACTACTAGCAAGCCCTTGTGCCTTAACTTTAGTGTACTGTGGATGATTTTAAACATTTCGATTAAGTCGTCTCTACTACATCTTTCTTTGAGTGTTGGTAGGTAAAGTTTAGCTAACCGATCTTCGGCTGAGAGGTCTATCTGCCTACAGCATGCTACTCAGCTAATGTCCAGCAGATAGGCCCATTGGGATTCCAATCAACCTGTGACAGCCATCTAACATTCATGGATGTTTAATGCTGCCTTTTCTCCACAAAAAATTATAATTGTTTTCAAGTAAATAAAAAGTAGGTCCATGTCACCATCAGGGAGAATTTTGGGTAAATGAAAATGAGGGGAAAATGGTTTATTTTTTCAAATAAAGTATTTCAAAATTTAAACTATGATGTGATGATTAACATTAATTATGTATATTTCCTATATATTAAAAAAGTAAATTATGATTATTTGTCCAATTCTTACCTCGGCATCTAGTTGCTGACGGATTCTAACTTCACCATCTACTGGCCCTACAGACAGATAGTTGGGTTCAGGTTGATCAATTCCATAGATGACTGTTGCCCCCTCCGGGTCACTACCAGAAAGAGTTAATATCAGACTCCCTACATGAATTTAGAAGTAAAAGATAAAAAGTAAAAAATGCATTCAAAACAGATAAATATAATGAGTAAAATAATCTGAAATTAACTTTCTTTTTAATTACCTTTTGGTCTTGCAAATTGTATCTTTACTGAACTTTTCTCTTCATGCTGAATATAATTAGCTTTTGTATTTTTCAGATTTATATTGTTTGTGAAGGGACCATTTAAGTCAGCATTACTATTTGGGTCACCCTCGTTAAATAAAGTAGTATAAAAAATAAAAATTAAAAAAATAAAAGAGTAAAACATAGTTTTAAATGAATATGTTCTTAATCTTTGTGGCCTTGTTCACTATATCATACTCAAGATAGTGCCAACCAAAATTAACGTTCCCCACCAATTATTTGGTTTCATCCCCAGACCTACTTGACAACAAATGCTACCTCAGTTTAATTTTTCTTTACAAGGTTTTAGCTGGAGTGAACTCTTACTAACCAAGGCCTTGTGAGAGTCAAGTAAGCAAGTAGATACACAGTGACAATTATAGAGGGAACTAATTTTAGCTGTGGACATCGATAGAGAATGCAATTTTAGACTGTTACTTAATTTGACTTTAACAACTTACCAACAGTTGCACTTTCAGATATACGAATAACACTGGGTGGAGTACTGTCAAGTCGCGGAGCATTATCTGTTGGTGACTCATCTATTGCACAAAAAATACAAACAATAGTTAATCAATGTGAAAATAAAATTACATCCAATAATAACAACAAATGATGATGATACTGATAATGAAAAAATTATTATGATGATGATGATGAGAGTGATGATGATGATTTATGATGATGATAATGAGAGTGATGATGATTATGATGATAATGTTGATGACAATGATGAGGATTATTATTACACTATTTTAAAACCATGCCATACATTTATGTACATGAGGCCATTATACAATTAATTTTAAAATATTGCTTATTTTGAGTAAAGCATAATTGATTGGAAAGTATAATACATACTCCAAGTATTGAAATACACGCCATCGTGTTGGGATTCAATATTTCGACATTAATTATGTCATCATCAGGATTCCTGATGATGACATAATTAATGTCGAAATATTGAATCCCAACACGATGGCGTGTATTTCAATACTTGGAGTATGTATTATACTTTCTTATCTGAGATTAATCAGTGGACCTTTCGGTTTTTTCCATAATTGATTGCTTATAGCGAAGTACTAAAAGTCAATTGAAGGATAAGTAAAATAATATTGAGTACACTTTCATGCCTCTTCAAAGAATAGTGATCTTGAAATTTCTAGGCAAAACTAATTATAGTAACAGATCATAATTAATATAAATGTTACTATGCAAGTTATTCATTAGGTAAACATCCAACCCACATTCACAGCTGTCAGCAGCCAAAGATAGGTTGGTAAAAAGAATTGCATCCCTGCCATAAATTTTCGCTCACACCATGAACTAACACAATCTTAGTAGTTTGCGTTAGTTTATAAAAATGACAAATGCATTCAAGTACGCACTGTTGTTGTTACAGATTTTCTGTGCAGTAAATACAAAAGTGCTTGACGAATATGTACAATGAAAAATTAAATTTGTGATTTCACAAAGTAATACAAACCACTTTGTGTTAGTTTGCAGAGTCACACTTTAACCATTTCATACAGGCCAAGATCAATTCTTTTTACTCAATAAATATATATAATATTGCAAATATACTGTAAAAGATATTAGTTAGCAACATGCAACTCATATTTAATAGACAATTCCTAATAAAGAACAACTTTAATGACACATTACATTTCCATTTTATTTTTCAAATTCAAATACAATTTTCCCGGACTGTAGAAGCACTGGTCTTGGAAATTGGTAAAAAACAAATAAATAATAAAACTTGGATCTTAAAAAAATGTAAACTTATTAAAATGAAAAGGGAGGGTTGCTACCATCAGAACATCAGGCTTATTCAGGGACATGCACATAATTACTACAGTACTGAAAGTGCCTACAATATAAAAAAAAGATAAAATAATAAAATAATAATAATAATTTTATTATGTATCATTATAATAACAATGATACCATAATTTAGGCCCAATTCACTATATAATAACTCTAGCGATTGTGAAAATGTGTGGAATTATAATATATCATTAGCATTTTAGCTGTTGTTCTATTTGTTAATTGTGTTATATACATTAACACTTCTACTCATTAATTGCTACATTTTCATTCAACATAAGATAGTCACATAACCCCATAGCATATGCAATATATACAACAATCAGTCAAATTTTCATAACCTAGACAACATCACTCCTTTTGTAATTTCCATACCAACTTCTCACTTAATCTAAACTTTTAATCATTTTTTAAAATAAATAAATTTATAGTGTTGTATTTTCTTCATAAAAAGTCAGAAGTGGTTTTAAGGAAGATAAAGGAATTCAGACAAACTTATGACAAAAGATTAAATAATAAGAGAAGAATGATATGAGAAAGTTGGATGTATTTAGGAATACTCAATGAGCACACCAGAAGACAGGAGAGTTTGAGACAGATACTCATTTGCACACCAGAGGAAAAGGAAGTTTGACGCAGATGCTCATGAGCACAACAGAGGATAAGACAGTTTGAGTTAAATGCTCATGAGCATACCAGAATACAAGGGAATTTGAGTCAGACACTCATGAGCACACAAGAAGAGAAGAGAGAATGAGTATGACACTCATGAGCACACCAGAAGACAAGAGAGTTTGAGTCAGATGCTCATGAGCACACCAGAAGACAAGAGTTTGAGTCAGATGCTCATGAGCACACCAGAAGACAAGAGAGTTTGAGTTGGATGCTCATGAGCACACCAGAAGAAAGGAGAGTTTGAGTCAGATGCTCATGAGCATATCATCAGACAAGAAAAATTAAGTCAGACAAGTGTAAACAAAACACAATGTAGTCACCCATGCAATCTTTAAGATCAATATTACACAAAGGTATGCCATATTTCATTTTTCAATCTGATGTAATTTATCCATTTTTTCTAGTTTGCTACAAACCTAAATACCGTATCAAAGAATGAAAAATATCAATAACAAGTAGGTTTAAAATAAGCAATAAAAAAGACTTAATACAGTTTATATAAATGCAGGTGACGCAAAGACTATCTTCACTTTGACAAGCAAGCAAGTAAGCAACCTTAAATTCCTCAGCATTTTACTGGCTCACTCATGCATCCCCATATCCTGCAGCCCTATATTTATAAGCGTGAGAAAATTGTTAAAATCCTTGTATATCCTAGTTTGTATTGTCACGCTTAAGTAGAGTTGAATCGCTATGATGCCTCAATTGTATGTGTATATACCACTTCATCTGTGCAGCTTTCAATTGAGAATAAGTATAGGTAAGGTCATACTGTACCTCAAACAATATAAAAAGATTGTGGTTTTTTTGGATAGATTTAATTCTACCTGTTGAGGTTTGAACTGCATGGCACATTTTCAGACATGTTTTCATAAATCGTTTTACTTTTCAAACTATTCAAGTTTAAAGGACCTCCAAGTGAGATGTTGATAAAATAATTTTAATATGAAAACAAGAAAACCGTATAGCGATTTGATAGGTCTTCTATGCGCATACCCTCATTCATAATTATAATCTAGTCCACTGCAGCTTGTTAAATTGCAACACTGCCTCATTATCAGTTCCTTTTTGGTGTACTTTTAGTCAAATTATTTTGTTTAGCTTGATACCGCTAATTATTTACAATTATTTTCTTTACATATTGGCAATAATAAATGAAAAAATTTTGTAAATGAATAGTGTGATTATAACCATATAAAATATACAAAATTTAAATGGAATGAGGAATAGAAATAAATATGGAAAATACACAACCAATTTATTTATAAATTTTCTTTTTTATTAGGGTTCTTCAGATTTGTTAACCTATTTTGACAAAATTAAAATTCACTACAAGTGGTCATACTTGAACCCAATTTTAATCTTGTTTGTCAGGTCCTTAAGTCCAATTACAAACTTATCACTTCATTATAACAATACACTCTTATATACAGTAATGTACAAAGTATTGGTTATTTGATATTTGGTTGGTATGGTAACCATGATTGATTGCAACTATGACCTATGATTCCATAACAAATGAAAGCATCTTAGAATATCATAGCTCATAAACATCGACAAATAATAAGGCAAAATGTACCTTTACCCTGCTTATCTATCCATGCCTCTATCTTTGAAATAAAAAGTATGTTATTCAACAGTAAGCAGAGAGCAATATCATAATTAACCAACACATTTTAAGATCAGCCCAAGAGGAAACCCATTTAAAACTAAAAGAAACTAATACGGAGGAAAAAAGTGGCAGAATTATGAAGAAAATAAACATAGCATTTTACACTAGCAGAAATATGGTGCACCCAACTCACAGAGGTCGCAGTTTTTGCCGATATAATTAGGTTCGCAGGTGCAAACATATGATGTGCCATTATCAGTGCAGGTTCCGCTGTTACAGGGCGATGGTTCGCATAACGAACGCGCTGAAATGGTTTCCAATGTAACTATTATGATATGTCATTGATACACATAAATACAATAACTACAATAAGTTTTATAAATAGAAAACCATTAAGCTTCTAAGCAATTAGTATAATTAGGCAACCAAACGTTTTATATAATCCTTCATTTGAATTATAAAACTTTAATATAATATGTGATATATTTATGAACATTTTCACCAATAGGTTTTGATTTAATTACACTGTAGCATATTTAGGATGAATAATTAGTTTACTTAATAATACTTTATCAATTAGTCTGCTATTATCTAGATTATTGATATATATATAGCGTAAAAACAGTTTATGACTCACATATTTCACATTGCAATCCTACAAAATACTCAGTGCATGCGCAATTGTAGAACGTGTCTAAATTTATACACGTTCCCCCATTCTGACAAGGAGACCCCTCACATACGTTGGAATCTGAAACATTTAAATCGTTCCTTTAGTAGCTTCTCAAAAACAACATGCATCCTACCACACAGTGAACATGACACGAAGCAACACACTGATTTACAATGAAATAATTAATAACAAAAAATAAGCACTAACTTTCAAAGCTATGTATTTTTGTATACTCTTCCCCTGTAATCCTACCCTCACTCACTTCTAGCCAAATATGTTTCTTTTCTGAACTTCTCATTTAGTAACAGGCACTGTAATTTCTTCAAAATTGTTTTACAAATAATTCCTGAAGCTGTAAAACAAGTTTCTTTCTAATTTTAAATTAATGAGTCTTCTTCTTATGATGGTATGAGTCTATCCCATCATTTTACCAACAAGCTCAATAATGTACCACCCATTTTACTTTTATTATTCATTATCAATCATTTACCCCAGTTTTATTTTATTTTATTTTATTTTATTTTATTTTATTTTATTTTAT